AAACGAGCGTTCTTGCTCATTTTGCTTCCGAGAAACATGCAAAACGGGACGGAAAGCATGAAATTTTGCAATAATCTTACGCCACCCTTGCACAAAACGACGATAATTTTTCTAATTTCTCAGACAACAGAAGACTGTATTTATTCTACATAACCCCTCCCTGAATTTAAAGCTGGATCCGCCCCTGTCTACTTAGCAAAGAAATGTCTGAAACTCCGAGTTTTGAAAATACAATTATTTAGATACTTTTAAACGTGAAAAAACTGCAAGGGGAGATCACCCGCTAAATGCAGAATGTTTATTTTTAGTAGTTCAGTTCTAAATGGGGCTAGTGCTCACACAAAATAATAGTTATATTAAGGTGGAATTATTAAAAAATGGAAACATTTAGGACCATCACCTCTGTGCAAAAAAAATAAATCAGTTTAGCCACGCACTAAGCGATGAGTAAGCCTTACCAGAAGATACCTTCAAGACTAAAGTATTTTAGAACGAAACTTTCCATTTTCACTAGGTTCAACCTTTATCAATCAATTAACAAAAAAGACCAAGACGATAAAGAGTTACAAGTTATCGGCCATGAAAGGTGGTATCAAGAGCGCACTTCACGATCGAGCGTGAAGAAGAAGAAGCGAATTTCTAGGCGTTCGCATAGCGCTGCTGAATTTTCTAACGCTAGCCTCTCAGCGGCCAATAAGAGAGCTGCTTTTCGAAACCGCAGCCAAAGTTCGGAGAAGGAAAGCGATAGTGAAGGGGGAAAAAGTACACCGCAAAGAGCTGATTCGTTGTCTAAATTGTTTCGTGGCTGTAAAAGGTGAGAGACTTTTAGTGACTGCCCTGGACATTTTTTTACCGTTTTGCACTTAATTTCTCAACTGAACTCGCTAATTAATGTAAGTAACGAAAATAAATTAAACATTCATCGAGCCAGATGAGCTGAAATTAATATTTCAAAACGTCTTTTAAATAGTCTGCTCGCAAATGTATTAAATGCATTCAAAGTTTGTGTGCAAAGTGCTCTTATGACGAGATTATGAAGAACCAACGTATTGGAAATGTTTAGAATTGTTAAGTACAATTTTAGTGCAAAAGAAATGTTTTGATCTCTATAAATCGCTCTGTGGTAAATCACAATTTCTGGTTCAACAAAGGTTTGGTGGTTTTTTTCAAAAGAAGTGAACTTGCTACGGAGAGAAAATGAAAGAATCCAAAGAAAATGAAAATCCAAGAAAATTAWTACAAACYGTTGCGACAAGATGGAACTCCACGTATTCAATGCGAAATACAGGATGCAGTAAATACATCAGGAGCGCTTATATGAATAGAGATATTCCCGTTCTATCTGAAGGAGAATGGAACACTTTCAAAGAGCTGTGTAAAGCTGTGTAGTGTTAAAACCTTTTCAAGATGCTGCAGTSCGAATAAGCGGAGAAAAATATGTGACAGCCAGTTGTGAAAAGTTGCAGGAAAAAGTGTTGTACAAAGTTGTAACCGACGTTGTAAAACAACGTTTTCAACCACTAAAAACGAGAATRAAGAATTCTGAACTTTGCGAAAATATTGGCTTAACGACCTTACTGGACCCTCAGTATAGTATAAGCTCAATCCCGTTAATGCTGGAGGAGACAAACCATGTTAAACCATCACGTTTTCTCCTCAGGACTCTGTTGTAAGACTTTGTTCGGACCCTTTACCGATACCTAGTATATGTACAAAGTATGTTTTTCTACTGATCTCGGCTAATACAATAAAACCCTCAATACATATTTAACCTTATCAGCCGCTTTAGTTTTACAACTAGTAAATGCGTTTTCTATTTTCAGACAATCAAGTCAATCAAAGCATGAATACAGTGCAGTTAAAACTGAAGGTGGAAATGACAAGTTTAGAGGAGAGAACAAAATCCGTAATAATGCATTACTGGCTTGCAAGAAAAAATTCATTGATAATGAAAGATACGACCTGATCAGTCAGCTCGGTGATATCGGCTTTCGGAGCGACAAAAATTGGTAAGAACTTTCTAAAACTTAATTATTTTATGCAGTAAGTTCGCTATGTAAGCACTAACTTAGTAGTTCGTTGACTGTATTGTATATAGCAATAATTTGTTATACTTAATATTAGGCCTGGGTAACACTGTGTTGAGTTGCGCTATTGAGCTGTTAACTCATCGGTTAATGAGATACAAGTCATTTAGTAAAGCTTTACGAGGCCCGAGACTAGAATTTTCACATCTAAAAAAAGGTCATCAATATTTTTTATAACGATCATAATCAATATATTTAGTAACGTTTTACTACTTTGTTTAAACAACTAAAAAAAAGTCATCTAGATTTTCCCAGGAACAGAACTGAATGCAAACAAAGTCGACGAATTTTCTTACAAAATCGATCTCTCAATTTTTTTGCATAAAAGATTCAGTTTGCCAGTTTTGCTCCAGTTTTGTTCCAGTGCGGTTTTTCTGTTTAGAGACAGTGTTGTGTAGAAATATTGACCTAAAAGTGAAGAAACCCCAGTTTTCAATAGTTTTCTAAATAAACTAAAATGGTTATAAACTTTCGCCTTTTCAGTTCGGGGAAATATTTTTGGAAAAAGCCCAGAAATAATTATTAGGGATTTTTCCATAATTCGAAGCTGCAAAAGAGTTTTCCAAACATTTTTGCAAAGCGGTTAAGGAGGCGAGTGTTCCTAGAAAATGTATCTCATAATTTTTCACAGAAGAAAAGAAGAAACTCATCAGAAAATAATGCTAAAATTTTAGTTTTGTGATCGGTTTTGGAGAAAACCTTAATAGTTTCCGGAAAAAACGGGAGGAACTTATTTTCGTTTTTGTCGCAAATTCGACGTTGAAAAAAGTTTTGCAAAATTTTTACAAAGCTATAAATTTATTTTGTAATTTTTCGCCTCTATTTTAAGATCTCCAGATCGTCAGTATCTCCAAGTGAAACTCTACTAAAGCATTTTTGAGTAGAAAGTAAAGTAAAAAAAAATCAGTCAAAACTCATCACTCAAAATCGGTCAAAAAACATATTTTTTTAACAAACTCTACAGCCTTCAGAGGTATGGAGGTGACGAGATACGCTTTCGCTTATTGCGTTCGTTCTTTGATAGAAAATTATTTGATTTTTGTTACCAATTCGAAGCTGGAAAGGGATTTCAAAATTTTTTACAAAGCGACGAAGCATTCGAAATTTATTTCATAATTTTTGGCGGAAAATAATTTAAGGAAGAGTAACTTGCCTAAAACTGGTAAATTCTGAAATTTTGAAGAAATTTTCAAAATATTATTAATAAATTGCCCTTAAAATAAATCTAAAAACAAGTAAAAAAAGTCAGCAAAGCAACGGAACTGAGTTATTGCGCCGGTGCGTTGGGTTGGCGCACCAAGTCATTTGAGCAGCACTGCGCCAACTCCTAAAAATTTACTGGGTTGCCCAGGCCTACTTAATATGTCCTATTACTACCAATTCTATTTGATATGTGAAGTTCATCCATCTTGTCTCACAATTGATACGGTCTGATTGGTTTTTGTACACCCTGTACCACCCTGGTCCAGTTTCCAGAGCGCAAATTTCAAACAATAAAGAATCGAAGTACAGAATGAATTTCTATGATAAACTATATTGGAAGAACGGAATTTCGTTTAAGTTTGGATCTAAACACCCAACTTCACCTGAACTTTAACTATCCGTCGATCCAACATCGCGGATAATTTATATTTAGCCATTCTCTTAAAGCTATTCCAAAGCCCATTTGTATCCAACTTTCATGTCTTAAGTCAGGTAGTAAATCATCAATGTAGTCCTGCTAGTAGCACTGTGAGAAATTTATGAATAGTTCACTACTGCACTGCTACTTTTTATTTTATGAGATTTAAGTAACCCTTAGGTACACATTTAGGTTTACCGTCCACGATAAAACTCTTGGCGCAGAAAGACTGCTTACCTTAGTACCGCTACCGTCCACATGTCCCATTGCTCCAAGCCAACAAACGCGAGAAACCCTCATTGAACTTTTCAGGTAAGTGTTAAGTGGTTTTTGAATTTTGCAGTATTTAAATTCGAACAAATGTATAAGATAGTCGATTCCGGTGCTTTCAGCAAACGATTTTCAAGATAGTCCTAAATCTGCTAAAAATTAACATTTGCGTTTAGGGGGCTCCAGCATCCATATATCCATCCCGTCCTCGATATCGACTTTTGGAAAGACGAAGCAGCTATTTTTGCCCCTTTAAACCCCACAGGTAGTCTAAAGGACTTGATTTATCAGAGCTTTTGGCAGGACGACTATGAAAAAAAGTACGTTTGCAGAGGTGAAGGTCTCCCATTACGAACAGTAAGTAATCATAATATAACTTAGCAGTGTAAAATACATCTTAGTCAGCCACTTTTCGCCTGTATGCTTATATTAACTAAGTGCTCTTGTTTTCAAAAACTATAGCAAAAATGTGGACATGTTTTCGGATACATATACAGAATTTTTTAAGTTTTTTATAATCGAAATTCTGTTTTTTTATAGACAAAATTTTTGGAGGCGAAATACCCAACAAGCAGTTTGTAAAAAATGAATCCGCTTCAACAATATAGAAATTATATACAAGTGTCAAGAATGCAACAAATTCTACACACTTTTAAGGTACTTTTAACAGTGTGATAATTTTTTAATACGGTGATGATACTACAGCTCCTCGATCTTTTTCTGTTTCAGTTCCTCAGACACCGACGGGTTTTACAAACTAATACTCACATTTTAAACCCCCTGTATACTAAAGACAACAAAGACGTGTTTAGATGGCTTAAAGTTTGTGCTAAAAAAGCACTGTTGTTTGACATCGAAAAGCTGAAAGGTTTTCCAGAAAATGGCTCTTATTTAAATCTTAAAGTTTGATTAAATTAAGCCTTTTCGAAGTCGATGTGAAGAATTCATAATTTAACTGTTTAATTCAAAACTTTATAAGTTGGTTTAACATTTAATTTCAACCAATATCAAGTTCAAAAGTAAAAGGTGCGAAATGAATTATTTATAAGAGTTTGTACTAAAAAACTGCAATATTATAAAACAGGAACATTTATGGTTTACGCTATTTAAAAATGGTTTTAGAGTGTTTTGATAATATACTTACGCGTTAAAAGATGGGCATTAACGCGTACAAGTCGGTCGATCCTCCGTGAATTGAAATAGCAAAATTAGTTTCAAAAGCACAGTCTTAAGAAAACTTCTATCTATACCCATCTTGTATATGTATCCGAAAGCATGATCACATTCTTCGGTACACCCTGTACATGGGATATACAACTACTAAATGAGAAACTTATCTTAAAAGTCTGAGGATACAGCGAAGACAGACGTCCCACTACTGACTTATTTGCCGACTCATTTTAGATAGAGCTAAAATGTCGAATTTTGCATATTTAAAAAAAAAAAAAAAACTTCGAAAATGTCGTCAAAACAGTCAGCTGACAGTCAGTGACAAAGTCAAGCTGTCAGCGTGCGTGGCGAAAGTTATTACTTTCCTCACGGGATGAAGACAATTTGTAATAGGTAAAAGTGATGCTTTCGCCATTGAAGGTTATAATGTGCGAGTTTATCGCCTTTAACAATCTAATTATTTTAGGTGCAATGTCTTGGGAGGCAGATTATTGAAGCTTTGCTCTTTTTGAGAAACAAGCAATTTCCACCCATATATCATCTACATTCAGGTAAAAATACAACTATTAAATTCAATTTCAATGTTTGTGTAAATATGATTTAAGTAGTCATTTATTCCTAACTTACAAATATAAACTTTTTTAGCAGTTCATTTTTAGTAGAAGTCATAGAAAACTAAAAAAAAATGATTCCAAAAAAATATTGGACTTCAGTATCACCAGAATTAATTTTACTTTTTTAATTGTTACTAGCGATCGGTGTCGTTATTAGACATAATGTTCATGCGTCCATCGATTCTCATGCTATCCAAAGCTTTCTAGGGAAACGTTTGGTCATAAGTCTGAGGATACAGTGAAGGCGTCCCACTACTGACTTATTTGCCGACTCATTTTAGATAGAGCTAAAATGTCGAAGTTTGCATATTTTTTTTTACGTTTTTTTTAGCCGTATGTTGTTCACTCATGAACATACGATCTCGGTCTAAAACCATCTGATACTTATTTCCAATGACTATGGGCCCTTTGAAAATTTTTATTTGACTATTTTTCCTGTACTCCCTAAACAGCCCCAGAGGAATCACGCCAATTTTGAATCACCCCGTATTGTTTTCGAATTTGAAGTTATTGAAAATATATTGCGATTTTTTTAACCTTGTGCGAGCTTCTCCAACATAATTTTCTTTTTGGCCACTTATCGGAAAAATGTTAAGACTGTTAAGGCAGTTTAGGTTTCTCTTTGCCCGAAAGTTGAATACCATTTCACCTCTAGCATTTAGCTCTACCGACATATGTTTCAGAAGCGCCTGGCAAAGACAAATAAAGCAAGAAAACCGAACTAATTTTAAACAACAGCGGCATAATCCGAGTCTACTTTCCTATAACTCTTCTTATTATCAAATATCAATGTAAATCTCAAAGGGTTCATATATTAGGTATAGTTAGGCCTGGGTAACTGGAGCTGGAAAAATGTTGATGACTTTATTTACTTGTTTTTAGATTTATTTTAAGGGCCATTTATCAATAAGATTTTTAATATTTCTTAAAAATTTCAGACTTCTCCAGTTTAAGCAAAGTTGCCCTTCTTCATGAATCATCCGTCGCTTTGTAAAAAGTTTTGAAATCCCTTTCCAGCGTGGAATTTGAAACGAAAATCAAATCATTTTCTATCAAAAAACGAACTGAATAAGCGAAAGTTCTCTCTCTGAAGACTGTAGAGCTTGTTTAAAAAATGTGGTTTTATAGTTTTAAATGAATTTTTTTTGCTTTGCTTTCTACTCAAAAACGCTCTATTTTGTAGAGTTTTACTTAAAAATACGGATAATCTGGATGTATTTTACGCGTAAAATTACAAGATATACTTATAGCTTTGTAGGAATTTTACAGTAACTTTTTTTGGAGTCGAATTCGGGATAAAAACGAAAATAAATTTAGTCCGTTTTTTGCCGCAAACTATTAAGGTTTTCGTAAAACAAAACACAAAACTAAAATTTGTTAACCAAAAACGCAAAAAAATTTAATTTTCTGATAATTTTCTTCTGTTCTGACAATAATGGGGTTTTTGCAGCCAAAAATAAAAAAATGGATTTTGCTCGAAAATTCGCCTTATGCCAAAAAATATTCCAAATCAAATTCATTCCTGGGTTTCAGTCATTTATTGTCTCTATTTATCAATTGAAATACGTTTCGGTGTATTTTTCCACCATCATCAGTTTTTATGTGTAGCGTTGTTGCTGCTTTAAGCCATGCCAAGGCTAAATAAATGACTGAAACCCAGGAATGAATTTGATTTGGGATTGAAACACAGTCAGGAAAGTATATACAATGACCAAAAAATATTTGGAAAATTCGCCACCCTCGTCCCTCTGCAGAGTTTTCAAGTTTCTTTAAAATTTTAGATCATTCCAGTTTAAGCAAAGTTTTTTCGTTTTTCTATTAAGCAATACTTTCAGCGAAAAAAAACTTGCTATTTTTACTTAAAATACTGACAATCTTCAGGTATTTTCTGTGAAAATTATAAAATAAATTTTATTGGAACACTTTGCTATTGAACAGCTTTGTAAACCTTTCGCAACTTCGAATTTTGAACAAAACCCTAATAATGTTTACCGGATTTTTTCCAAAAATATTTTCCCGAACAGAACAAGGGAAAATTTAGAATCAATTATTCGGAAAACTCGTCGTTTTGGTCGCTGTGAATAATTTGGTTTATTTAAATTCCGGTTTCTTCACTTTTAGGTCAATATTTCTAAACAAAACTCTCTCAGAACAGAACAGAACAACGCGTTTTATCCTAACGTTTTACTGTAAAATACTGGCAAACTGAGTCTTTTACGCAAAAAAGTTAAAAGATGGATTTACCAAGAAAGTTGTCGTTTTTACAGTTTGGTCTTTTTCGAATAACCATTTTACCTTGGAATTTGGGACAAAATCCAAACAAAGTTTTTTTCGACAAAATTTAGGTTTTCTCAAAAAACGATCAGAGAAAGCAAAAGCGTTAAATCAATATTTGGAAAACTCGTCACCCTCAACGCTCTGAAAATGTTTTCTTCTGAAAAGTTTTATCAAAATTTCCAGATTTTTCCGTTTTAACCCAAATAGTTTCAAGCAATCGTATGCGCAAAAACAATATGTGTTAAAATTCCGTTATCGGCCGTGAGTTATAACTCATTAACCAATGAGTTTAAACTCATTAACTCAACAACGATGAGAGAGCAACAAACGCTCAAAAGCGCAACTCAACACAGTGTCTGGGCGCAATGTTAAATGAACTGAAATAAAGCGAAAGTTGATACTGGAACAAAAAAGAAGATATTACTTAACAGCAAATTGTACATTCTTTGAACCAGATTATACAGTCTGGTTTATTAAATTGTACATAACTTTGTAATTCGATTTCTAGGCAATGTCATAATACAAAATGGGGTCGCCCGACTAGCCGGCTTGGAAAATCCGTTTCTGGGCCTCCTGCCAAAAGGTCCTGCCGCTCCTGAAACACTAGCTTTCGGTTATCTGCTCTTCGAAATGACTGCAGGTTATGAATTGCCCGGGCCCCCGAGCCCTGCCCACTTGCAATTGGAGTTGGAGAGAACACCTAAAGTTGCTGATATATTGGGACTCATATTTCAAAGCACAAGGTATATTAGATGAACAGTTTTACTGAAAACACAACCAGGCTCCTTGTGGTTGCGACGAAGATAAAACAAATTTGAAACAACTGTGATACTTTTGGTACTTTTGCCTACAAAGACAGCTAGTGTGAACTAACAATTGCATGCAATTTGGCAGATACTGCAACGAAATGCGTAGGTAAAAACCTGGTTTAAAAAACCCCAAACACAATTTTTCGAAATGTCCAAAGTGGTTATTCACATTTTGAATCCTTGTATTTAACTATTAACTTCCTTATTAAACAAATTCGTCTGAATAGCAATATTTTTGCCTCAACAATATGTCAGTGAATTAATCAAATCGATTACTCAGGACACCAACTCTGGAGGAGCTGATCCGCTGTGAACTGTTCAGAGGAGTAGAGCTGCGAGAGTTACGAGGAGCCAGTATTGTCCAGGTCCCGTCGCCTCCCGAAGTTATGCAACTTTTGGACGTTGTAAGAACACCATCGCTACCAACTCCGTTACTAAGACGGTAAGAGGTGTTCCATATTTATGGGTGGTTTTGATAAAATCTGTATTTGGAAATTTGCTTAATTGAAACTTTCCCATGTAGAAAAATCATGTGCCGATTAGCAACCAAAATTCTCTTTTGCTCAATACGTTAGCTGGTATTGAACGTCTAGTCTTTTTAAATTTCTCCCATCGAACTAAGCTTGTGAAGCTTGTCAGGAGACTTCGTATGAGGGTTACATATTTAGGTAGCAGTCAATGGGTACAAATTATGTCCAGGATTAAAGGACCAAACTGAAGATCAAAGCAATTATTACATTTGGAAATCAATTAGAAAAATAGAAATATCTCATTGTTGCTATATAATTCAGATATTCAATGAGAGACGAATCATTACACGAATTATAACGTATAAGTTCAAGGGCGGATCCAGGGGGGCGGATCCAGGATGAATGGGGGGATCATTACCCCCCCCCCCTATTAAATTCTCTATCCAATAATGCCAAAACGACTTCGGTGGCTCAAATGGTTCTTGAGAAACTTCGAAAAAGCAGCGTCATGTTCAAGTGGCTTTTGCAACTCAAAAAAAAACCACGCAAACCTAAAACCTCTTGAATTCAAGCATTTTCTGAGAAAACTGCCAACATTTCCCCATCCATGGTGCACTCTCTAAAAAGTCCATTTATTTCTGAATAGAATGATGTACAAATGAGCGTTCTTGCTCATTTTGCCTCCGAGATATGAGCAAAAACGGGACGGGAAACATGGAATTTTAGCATAATCTTGCACCTAAGTGTCTGATATCCCAATTTCGCTTTCTGGGTCAAAACTACTCGAATTTCCTCACTCACCTTGTTACGACTGAATCGAGTTTTCAATTCTCTATCCAACGATGCCAAAGCAAATTCTGTGGCTCGAATGGTTCTTGAGAAACTTCGAAAAAAGCAGCGTCATGTTCAAGTGGATACTTCCTGAATTCAAGCCTTTTTTGAGAAAACTCCCAACATTTCCCTATCCATGGTTCACTTTCTAAAAAGGCCATTTATTTCTGTCTGGAATGATGTACAAATGAGCGTTCTTGCTCATTTTGCCTCCGAGATATGAGCAAAAACGGGACGGGAAACATGCAATTTTAGCATAATCTTGCACCTAAGTGTCTGATAATCCAATTTCGCTTTCTGGGTCAAAACTACTCGAATTTCCTCACTCACCTTGTTACGACTGAATCGA